TTTATTAGTAGGTTACGGAGTTTTGATCTTAAATCTTTGTTTAGCCAGAGAGTTTAGTTATTATACTAATGTAGTATGATAGTACTTACATAGAGATATAATGCAACGCATCTACGGGCCAGGTTAGCATGCAGATTGTTGAGGTGCATAACAAATTAAAAATAGTAAACGTGGCCAAAATGAAAAAAAATATTTTTGAAGTTCAGATGACTTATGGAATTTCAGTTAGGAATATGATGAGTTACTAACTTTCCATAAGCTGCTGTCGTTAACCTAGCGATATGTATAAATGTGTAACATAGGAAACTACAAATAAGAAATGTTTTTAAATAACACACTTTCTTAATAGTATGTGGCGGTATAAAAGTATTAAATATTTCTAACAAAAAGCCTTGAGAGTGGCTCGTATTAATTATATACAACCAGACTAACAAAAATTCTATGTAAGATGAGAAGTGCTCAAATCATAATAAATTAACCAGGAAAGGGAAAACATAAAACTCGCCTGGAATATTTTCGATGATTAGACTATCCAGTAGACAACATATATAACGCCATTCGTGAGGAGTAGCAATGATCCAAAAGCATCCAGAATAAAATATGCATTATGGCAGTTAATTCCAGGGTGCTTGATTCTGTACACACATATGGTCATCTAAAAACAGTCAGAATAAATAAACCAATAAGTGACAAGGTTAAAAATGGGTTTAAGAAATATTAAAAGATCGGCTTGTCTGGAAGCTAGGATAAGCTACGTGGATTCAAAATGGCAAATGACTTAAAATTATCCCCTACATCTGTAGGTAATTTTGATCTTTAAGAGTGCACCAGCTTTCGTGGGCTACTAATATGTTTGTGAGACATGAATAATCTATTCTAAAGCCGTGCTGCTCTTCAGAAAAATCCGGTTTACGTCGAAATAATTATACAAATCCTTCTCAATAATCTTTCATAAATTTTTGACAATCACGTTGGCCGGACTTGCCGGTCGATAGTTCTTAGGTTTATGTCTCGTACCTGGTTTGAAGACAGGGCTCACTATAGCATTCTTCCAGTCTTATGGTAATCGACCATGGGTTACAGATAAGTTGGAACATATAACTAGGGGATTCGCGACAAAATTTGCTAATCTTTCTAGTAACCTAGGATGCATTTCACTGAGTCCCATGGATTTGCCTATACCGAGCTTATTTGTCAGACCAAAGACACCGAGTTCTTTAATGGTCACATTGTCCAGTGTTTGTGGGAGGGGGTTTTAATGAACTGAATGGGAGGGCATCTTCAAGGTATGTACATTGCTAAATTTGGGAATACCCGAGCTTTACCATAATCGTTCCTCACTAGTGATACAGTACTTCTCTGTCCGCATAGTGCTGGAATATTTCTTCTCTTTGTTCTTTGGTTTATGTACGAATAATAATAATAATAATTTATTCTCAAATAACAGTTTGTTACATGAGGCATGCCAGTTTACAGGCAAGATCAAATTGATACAAATGACACAATATACATAAGAGTGTAGGGTGTTCTATAAATTCCTTAACAGATTTTTCTCCGTATAACTTTCTAGGCTTGAGGAGGGTCGAGGTAGAAATATTTCGAGCTTCCCAGTGATGAGACTTTGTCTCGTTAATAGCCAGTAACCTCCTCACCGAACCACAGTAGGGGGATTCTCAGACCCCTTGGTGTAGTCCAAGTGATATCTAGCTTCCATAGCTTGTTGAATAGGCTTCAAGCATTTGTGTAACGAAGCCGGAGCCCATATAAATGGACTGGTGCTGTATTCAAAGTGGCTTCAGCATCATTCTCTGTCAATGCCTCATCACCCGAAAATTTACAATTCCAAGGTCCCTCTAGCTAGCATCTAATTTTAGTTTCAGTTCGTTTTCGATTTCTCGTATTTTTGTTAGGTCCATGAGTAGCAAGTCTTTAAGGACAAGAACTCATAAACTTCTTAGTTTCTGTTCATTCTATTTTCGTATGTTAAACGGCGAACGAAACGTAGTGATGGTATTCCCCCGTTAATGTAACACGAAAATTCAGATTAACTAGCTGAATCAGGTCGAGCAAAAGCTGAGACCTTTTCAAACTATTTTAGTTAGTCCTATATTTAAGGACGGTCAGAGACAGATCGTATCTAACTACCGGCCTGTCAGTCTAACCAGCATTGTCGTTAAGTTACTTGAGAAGATAATTCGAGTGAGGTTGCTAAGCCACATAGATTCACACAATCTGTTAGCTCCTGAGCAACATGAATTTCGTAACAAGCGTTCATGCTTAACTAGCTTACTTATTGCGAGGGAGGATTGGACAGCAACCATAGATAACGGTCTGTCTGTCGATGTGATATTCATAGACTTTAGCAAAGCATTTGACAAGGTTTCACACTTAGGTCTTATGCAGAAGCTCACGAGCTTAGGAATAATAGATACTGTACAGGAGTGGATGGGAAACTTCTTATATGACCGCAGACAGAGAGTGGAGGTCAATGTGAAGCCAGTCAAAAGTGGTGTACCCCAAGACACCATCTTAGGCCCTCTGCTCTTCCTTCTCTACGTTAATAAGTTACCGCTGTTGCTCAGGTCGTCTACATTATTGTTTGCGGATGAAGTAAAAATCTGGAGAACAATAAAAAGTGAAACTGATCATCTGGATCTCTAAGCTGACTTAGACGATTTGGTTAGATGGGCTCGAAAGTGGGGCTTAGAAATCAATGCTAGGAAGAGTGTGCTAATGCACATCGGTCACGATAATAGTTACCGTTATACTTTTGATGGTAAACCTCTTCCATGCGTTCAAGGACATAAAGACTTAGGAGTAATAATAAGTCATGATTTAAAAACAACTATGAATTGCAAAGCAGCCACTGTCAAAGGTTTTCGTGCGTCATGGTCACTTCGCCGAGTGTTCAAATCTTTTGACGAGGAAATGTTTCGAATTTTATATCCCATATATGTTAGATCGCATTTAGAGTACTGTATTCAAGCAGCTAGCCCATGTCTGGTAAAGGATGCTAACTCCCTTGAGCGTGTCCAACGTGTGAGAACGAAGTTATTGAAGGGTCTTCCTAGACTCCCTTACGATGAGCGTTTAAAACGCCTAAATCTTTTCCTCTTGTCGTATCGTAGGGCGCGAGGTGAATTTATACTGGCATTTCGTACCCTTAATTATGATTTCGGTGGTAATATGTTTTGTCTTTTTGCTCCCTCGAGCACTAATAATCTTCGAGGTCATAGCAAGAAGGTTCATAAACCACGATCTAATAAACTTAAAGTGGGGTCCCGTTTTTCTCATCGAGTAGTCAATGATTGGAACGCCTTACCCGAACAAGTGGTATCAGCCCCATCAGTGAATACTTTCAAGGAAAAGCTGGACCTTCACTGGAAAGCAATGTGTCAGGATTAACACAGGTTCACCAATCTACTATCCTTATTACTGGAGACTGAAGACTGACTGATTGGTTAGACAGCATGATATAACTATTACCATAAAAATGGATATTACTTTCATGCTGTAAGGGTCCCCTAAATATTCAGCCGAACGGTTGAGAATACAATGCAAGTCACGTAAGACTTTATTAAACATACAGTCCCCAGAAATCCATACCCAACTTTGTAGTTGTTGAACTTTTAACAAGTTTTGAGCGGCTTCTTTGAAGGTCGTGATGAGAGACGAAAGGAAAAGGGTTAAGGATCAGGAAGGTCAGTACTGCTAGAGGGTCGTGATATAACTGTGCTCATGTCCAGTCACTGAGATCTTGTGCAAATAGATTATAATCTCTTATGTAAGCCTGTGTTCTGTCTCATGATGCTGTTGTGTTTTAAAGGTTGAATTCGGACTAATATTTAGGAATTGACTAGTTACGTGGATGTATTATGCGTCTCAGTATCACTTCACGTTAAGTATCAATGATAGTGGTAATTACGACCGACTTAATACGTTTTAGATTTCCACTTTATGATAACACTAATCTACCATCAGTGACCGTTAAAATCAGACTTGGAGCTCACGGTATATTTTTTGGGCTCTGATAAGCTTATGTGTGCCGGAATCTTCTTTTTATTGTGCATTAAGCACTTGATTAATTATTGGATGCCAATAGATTTTTTGGATGGTGCAGTACGTACAAACCGTTTTAGTCCTATATTCGTTTACTTGTACGCAAACATTGGTACAAAGTGGCACCACCATGTATGGGCGCCACACAAAATTTTTGTGAGAGCTGGAATACCTCGCTGTTGTCCAAACAAGTATGTGGTTTTCTTGGGGAGCCATCCGCCGAGTCTTTGACTTGGAGATTGATCCTCAAGTCATTGAGACAACGTTAGTATATGTAGTCCCACGGTAGTCGGTGGCCAAGAATAGGTTCGTAAAACATTTGTTCCCTCATGAACCTGAGACCCATGTGGACCGTTGGTTAAGAATCAGGGTTTTCCAACTCTCTTAGGTGGATTCTTCGTACCCACCAAACCGGTCTAAGGTCCGGACATTCACTTTTCGTACTCTGAATTTCGTAAACAACACCCCCGCCGTGAGAAAGAAATGAGTAGGACTTCCTTGCCAGTCGCTATGTACGAGTGAACGTATGAGAGCCTCTTGAGAGGAGGCGAACTCTCCCTGCCCTCGGCTGTACTGAAGGGGGCTTTAATCCTAAAACCTAACCTATGTTCCCTTGTGTCCCTAGATGCCCTGGTATGGCCAAGAGTGGGGTGAGCCCTCCCTCTCGAAATGCTCTCACGTGGCCACACCCACACAGCGCCTGCCAGGGAAGTTCTAATCACTGCCTTCTCGTGGCGGGGGTGTTTTTTACGAGATTGAGAGGACGGAAAGCGAATGTCCGGCGCTTTAACCGGATCCCAAACCAACGGTGCACATGGGCTCCAGTATTCTGAAAGAACAAATTGTGTATGAACCAATCGTTGGTCACCGGCTACTATGGGACTGCATCTCCTTACGATGCTCCACTGCCTTGTGGATCAGACCTTCAGGTCGAAGGCTCCGGGTGTGGCCCCCTAAGAAAACCACCTGCTCCGGTTTGGGCACCCGGACAGTATCACAGCCCTCACACATATCAAATGAGATCTGTGTGGCGCATATGTATTTGGTGCCCCCTTGTACCAATATCTATGTGTTCAAATAAAATAACTAATAATAAATGTTCTCTTATGACCATCTGCAAACATTAGTGACACAATATATTGGCTGATTTTTTTTCTGTGTTCTGTTACACATATTGGTAGTCTGGATGTTTACTGATGTCAGTGGGAAATCTCTAGTATCCTGTGGTATCAATGTAAGTTCGACTATAAATAATGGTTGACTTGTATCAGTGTTTTACATAACATGGTTACTGGTATTTTAGCGAAGGGTCCTTAATAGACGTCTGTGTTTATGTTATTTGTACGTTTTCTTCGATTGAATGACGCAGAGTGCTTCTCAGTAATGTAAGCTTCTTTTTTTCTAGCACATCTACCAGTAGTGGTTTCTAAATGGGATCGACTAACAGCACGATGTCATCAGAAATATAGTGCGGATGTTTTTGGCGAAACGTTGCTCAGTTAACCTTGAAATGGACAAGCTAACAGGCTATCGATAAATCTACTCATTGATTGTTGGTATAGGTCATGACCTAAAACATATCATACAGTTTGGCATGTACAATCCATGGTATTGTTGTCTGGGAACACTATGCACTGTTGCGTTAAATCAGTACCAGTGACTTACTCTTTCCAATACTTGTGTCGCTCTAGATGATGCACATGCCACTAGTCTTGCTTTGACTTTGTTTATTTATCCGTGTGACTTTACATGATACATGAATACGTGACAATTGGAGTTGATATAGCACTGAATCGAATAATATGTTGTTTACTCGTTAGAACAAATGCCTGTTTGAAACTGTTTGTGCTTTCAGACCTTTTCTGTGATATTCATTTTTGGAGATGTAATTGACCAGTAATTTCTTGAGTTTAGTAAGTAATCAGTGTATAGAGATGGGATGTCAAGGAAAACTAGCAATCAGAAATGATAGACACTGTATCAAACAAACAATGAGTTGGGGTAAACTCCAGTTTCCATTGCATCCTGTACGTTTAAGTTGTGTTGGTCTCAAGGAGAATGACTTGTGTTCATTACGTATACTTTGAACTGAGTCTTACAACTAGATATCATTTGATGCTTTCGTGATATTGGTTTACTAATATTTCATTAATGTTGAAACTGTTTCTTACTGGGTTGGGCAGTTTACCAACGGTAAACCGACAAGTGTATCTAAATTTTATCAATTGGCTCATAGGCTACTTACATCTGTGGTACATTTTTCTAACATATCCGACTATTTGAATTGATGGATCGTTTGTGTGAAAAGGTTTTTACAAACTCCAAACGAAATTATTACTGGCCTATTAATTTATTTAATGAGTGTATTGCTTAGCTGAGTTATTGTCTATCCACTAGGGACTAAAGTAATTTCTGGTTTTTGCGTCCATTGAACTCATCGTTAGTACAAATCATGCTTGAGACCATGTATTATTCTAATCCCTACTTTGAAAGTATTTGTTCACACACTAATTGTCATGCTATACTTTCAGGATCCGAGAAACGTGATAGTAGACGTCCTTTAACTGTTCGAGATGTGAGTTTAATTCGCTTGGCAAAGAATGGGGATTTGGATTCAATCAAACAAATGATAAAGGAAGGAGTAAACATAAACGAGCAAGATGAAACAGGTAAGGAAATGTACCGATGGAAAAGAGGGAATTGTGTTGTATATCACTGAAAACGTGTGATTGTGTTTCTGTATGGGACTTAAAGTTATACAGGATAAATTGTATATTTTATATTGTTGTAAATCAGTGTATAGACAGAATAAAACAAACGTTTAGAGCGGACCAACTTAATTGGCTGTTTTTATTGTCTATTAATCTACGATTTGTGCGTGCTATGGTTAAGGCTATTTGACCTTTTAGACGTGGAATTTACCACTTAAAAGTACAACTCCTTAGTATCTCAATATAAATAGTTGGCTTTGATCATTAATCTCAGTCCACCGGACTTTTGTTTCGATCACTGATGCATGTTCGTATTTCATTTTATCACAGGGGCTGTTCTTCATGCATTTCCACTTAAATTTGTAGGTTGGACTGTATTGCACGAAGCATGTGTGCGGAACCTTCCACGTATGGTTGATTATTTGCTACGACATGGAGCTGATCCTAGTATCTCAAACATAAGCGGTGAAATGGCACTTCATTGTGCTGCGCGAGTAGGATGTCTGCGTATTGTTCGAGCGCTCATATACTACAACGCCGACCCTTTGGTGTCGAACCACAGGGGTGAGAAACCTTTGGACTTGTGTCATGACCCTGAGGTATCCAGTTTTCTCAAACAAGTATGTTTTGGATGTAATTTTTTAAAGGTTACATTTTGTAGAAAGGATTGTGTCGTAGGAATATCAGGAGCTTATCAAGCAGACCAGTTTCTTGAAAGAATTGTACCTTTGAGTATTTTTTTAAGACACTCCAAAAACTTACGGTGATACTTTTATGCTATGACAACTTGGGCCGGTATATATCTGTTACAGGCCCTACGTTGATGCTTACTGATTGACATCCTTATTTGTGTAGCCTTTACACTTAAGATGAGGCCAGATCATGGTCACTTAAGGGACTATGTTATCAGGAGAATGCGGAACTACAGTTCGATGATGGCAAGGAGGCAGTTGTGAGGTTGGATTTTTGTATCCATTCGTTGTATCACAGAAAGGTGCATGAGTGTGTTCAACATTTGGAAAATTCATTGTCTCTCAAATTTGAACCTTTATCTTTCGACACGATCGTTGCCTATATTTTGCCAACTGGTTTTCACTTAATGGGATGTACATTTGATAGATGGTTGCTTAATTTGGTTGGTCGTGTCAACCTATCTAATTATGGTCAACTAAACAGTACTTTGTAAATGTGGTAACTGTATTATGTGAATTAAAGTGATTTCCCTCTTTGTCGAGTATAATTTTTATTTCCCGATTGCTTATTTGATCATAGGTATATACGTCATCGCTGTCGTTAATGGAGAACATTGAGTGAGTAATGGTGATGTTGCATTTAGCGTACTAAGTAAAAGTGTTGCATAGGTTGGTGAGATTATGAACTTTCACTGGCTGTGAGAGGGTTGGTGCATATGTAACGCTTGATCAGCCACTGACTACACCAGTGTTCCATGGAGGTTAGTATATATATAGGGTAGAAACAGGTTAGGAGCAACTAAACCGATTTATAAGGTCAACTCATGAAGTCAATGGCTATTAATCTGAGCCATTCAGGCTCCTTGATTGTTGTTTGTGAGACAACTGTAGTCTGTCTATGTTGTTTGTTAACTAGGTGATGAGTCGAAATTAGTTGTAATGATGAATGTGTACACATTTCTCAACATCTTGTAAGTGTTGGACATTCAAGTATTATTTTGTATCCTTCATTCGCTTTTGGTGATTTGCTTGTCTTCCTCTTCGTTTATTGTGACTTATTCTCATCTAAATCTTGAGTTTCAGTTTTGTTGCTTTCCGCTTTTGATTTGATTGATTCTTTTCTTAACGTACTTTATGTATTTGGTTTCCACTACTATTAATATTATTATTTCGACTCTGTTTTTCGTTTTTTGAACTTCCTGTCCCTACACTGATGTAAAATTTGGCAACTTAAACCAATAGTCATTCGAGTCAGTTCATACGCCATATACATATAATCTCTTCACTAATTGGTCAAGTTTTACTGTTTCCTGGATATACTTTATTGTTATTGTGTTTATATTTTCAGCATACTGAAACTAACCAATCACACATGTTAACATCGTCTGGTTCTGGGAAATCATTACATTCGAAAGTTCGCCAACATGCACACGGTACAAAACATCTGATGTCTTCTTTTTCTGGTACGACAATATCCAGTTCTACTGAATATTATGGTGGTGGGGGTAAAGATAACAGTAGTATAGCAAGTCCATCAAATGTTTGTTCAGACTCAGAAGATGATGGTCATTCGCATTCAGGTTTGAGTGTAACTACCAATACATCTCACCATAATATTAGTCCTATTAATACTAACCAGCAGTTAGATTTGAATTGCTTATCATCTACCGGTCATCATAACCATCCAACATCTAGCCCATCATTGTCGTCTGTACCCAAATCCGTAACTGATGTGCACATCTCTTCAGCAAAGTCATGTGAGTGTTTTTCACGCATGTATGCTTCTACATATCCCCCTCTTATTACAAACTGTTTGGCTTATCCTTTGTTGTAAACTTTATGCAATATTATGGTGTACTATTCCAGTAATTATTCACAGATCTCAATGCTTGTCTGTGTTATATATAGTGAATTTTGCAACAGCTATCAAAATCAACTGACATACTGCTCAGATTGTACATGAGAATATATAGATTTGCTCATCGTTGTATAGATGCAAGTGTCTCACTTGATTATCAAATGTTATGCTTCACTCACCAATTTTCGAAGTGATTAATGAAGTGGAGGTTTGTGATGTGTAGCTCCAAATATGTTGGTGTTGGAAAAAAAACAACGAAATGAGCTCTGTTCAGTGTATTTTTCACTTGATTGTGATTATGACTATCACCATTATCAGATAATGCCTAATGAATGTATTGTGAGTGATAAGTAACTAGGCTCCCCTTAATTATGACCTTACAAAACTGTCTATTTGTTATCCGCTGAGTTTTGTGAAAGGTAGGTGGGGACTTATGTGATTGCCGTATATACCTTACTAGTTGTTAGCATAGTGGAATGTGATAGACATGTTTATTGCGGGAATTATATGTCTGTGGTGATAAAAGCTCACGGTAGGAAGAATGCTTCAAAAGAAAGAATAAGATAGTAAGATGTCGAGTATGAATTGATGCTAAGAGTCAAGATTTCGTGGAAAACGAGAGATGAATGCATCTATACTAGTTTGTTGAGATGAAAGGGATGTTTCGTAGCCGGCAGTTCTACTATATGAATCAAAAGTCCATCGGCTAGTGGCTTCTTATCACACAGTCGGATTGTCATGGTGTCAGATTTGATTTATGTCATCTCTTACGTATTTGTCTAGTTAACGTTACCCAGCAGTCAGCTGAAATTAATGCTTGTTCTACATTTTTGGAATATTGCTTATCTTTATTTTTTAGTGAACGGAATACATTCATTGAGACATTAAATAATAAAGGTTGATTCAGCGAAGAGTTCTCTTTTCGGCGAATTCATTTTTCAAAGCTGTACAGTCGCATATATATATATATATATATATATATATATATATATACTTATTTTTCAAGATGATAATAATGACAATAATAGTGATAATAAACTTTTGTTAAATATAATAGCAGTGAGATAGAATAAACAAAGGTATTTAAAAAAAATTTTAATACTGGAAACCAATAGTTTTATTGTTAAGGGTTTAAATATTCATCATAAAGATAGATAGGAAAATTATCATTGGGAAAGGATGGCTTAGTGTGATATGATCAGATGTAATCAGAAGGATCATAGAAGCAGAAATAAACCAGTCGGGGGTAGAAGGTTCATGGAAAAGATGGAAGGGGAAGCAGATGGTTGTAAAGGAAGGAAAGTATGGAGAAGAGAAAAAATGAGACATATTAAGACCATGTAGAGGAAGAGGTTGTACCAATCTACTTTGGACACAATTCTGGTTTGCTCAGATGTATGACTATTGGTTCGGCAATTTTAAGAAGATGCAATATAACTGCTTTTGGCAGCCTTCTACTTTTAACTCAGAGTCTGTCTTGATTGAATGACCTGTGTTCACAAGGTTTTCGATTATTGAGCCGTTTCTTCCTCTTCTTAGCCACGCTAGGGAATGTTCTTGAATTCTTTTGTATAAAGTACTCATCGAACGACCTATATACCTGGCTCCACACGAGTAGGTGAATTGGTAAATGCATATCAGATGAGATAATTTATCTTTAAGATTATTGATGGACAACGATCGGCTGGAGAACACGATTCGCAATGTTGCTGCGAATAACGTTCTTTTTAAAGACTCAGAAATTCTCTTCTTTAGGACGTTTGTAGTTTTATCACCCTTAAAATCGATGTTCATGTGGTGTTTTCTTTTCGACTAATGTTATTTATGTTTTAGGTGGTTTAGGTTTTCTGTTCTCGTCAATAAATATCGAAGGACACCCATTTTTTGATAAGTATTTCCTGCTTCTATGATCCTTCTGATTACATCTGATCATATCACACTAAGCCATCCTTTCCCAATGATAATTTTCCTATCTATCTTTATGATGAATATTTAAACCCTTAACAATAAAACTATTGGTTTCCAGTATTAAAATTTTTTTTAAATACCTTTGTTTATTCTATCTCACTGCTATTATATTTAACAAAAGTTTATTATCACTATTATTGTCATTATTATCATCTTGAAAAATAAGTATATATATATATATATATATATATATATATATATATATATATATATATATATATATATATGCGACTGTACAGCTTTGAAAAATGAATTCGCCGAAAAGAGAACTCTTCGCTGAATCAACCTTTATTATTTAATGTCTTAATTTGTTCAGCTGACTTAAGTTCAATGTTTTCATTTGCATTAATGTCATATTTCGTGTGGTATGTAAGCAACCAATGAGGATCACGAGATGTTTTGTGTATATATTTCCCCATGTTTGTATGTCATTTGAACATTAGTGTTTACTGTTAACAAATGCTAAGTTATCATCAGTAGTGGCATTTGCCTTCATTAATCTCTTGTCTGTGAAACGCGCATGTGTGCGCGTGCATAAACAAGCAGTCAACTAGTCTAGATGTTTGTACAAATGGGTGACTAGATGAAGTTGTCATTTGTTACCATGTGTTTATGCTTGTCTGTCATTGTTTGTAGTAGGTACGAAGCATGGGTTGGCTATTTGGTGTTTGTGTTGTTGTATTTGCTTGTATATCTGTATATGTCCGTTGCAGTCGACTTATCATTCGTAATGGTAATGGTAGTAGTAGTGGTAGTAAGTAATAGTATATTTCTATCTGGTATGGGTTGTGTGTTGTGTTTAGCAGTCATAGGTACACTAACTCATCTGTCGGTCAGGGGTTTGGAAAGTTTCTTTCGCTTTTATTGTAGTAACAGTCAAGTGTACATACTTGTGATGCACTTGCGCATGCAGGTATGCGCTTACGTAGAGACGATGGCGAGGAGAGGGAGGGGACGATGAAGGTAAACACTCACTACCAGCAGTTGCATACAAACAATTTTTATGCCAATAAATAAGCACGTAAGAGTCTTCGCATTAGTTTTTAAATAGTTTCAGTGTTTTTGCATATGTCTACTGTAGTAGTAACGTTGGTGTGAGCGTGTAAATGACCATATTGTTCATCCTATGGAGTACTTTTTTCATGACAAGTCAAATGTGAAGTTACTTGGAAAAATACTATCATAATTGTTGTTATTGCTATTTTTGTGGTTTCCACATTGAAAATATTTTCACTATAACACTGATCGAGTGTGTGATCACTTACTTACTAGAAGAGACAAAAGGTGGGACATATATATGTGTTTGTGCACGACAGTAGTACATAAATAATACTACCAATAATAACAGTAACATACAAGTTGTTTGTTGAGATAGTTAAACTGCTAATTGTGATCTCTGTCTTTCTGTACGTGCTCATGTTTGTCTCTATCTAGTGAAGAAAGATCCCTACGCGTTTGAAGATGATGAGAATGATGAGACGGTGAACAATTCTGGGAACTCACTACTTCATTCTGCGTCTGGTGTTAATAATAATAACAATACCAATACACAGGCAACAGGACATATTGGAGTTCATTCTGGTTGTGGTGTTAGTGTTGGTGGTCCAGCCAATTTGAATAAGTCAACTTCTTCCAATTCTACCATTTCTTCTTCTTCTACTACTGCTATTACCACCACCACCACCACCACCACCACCACCACCACTACTACTACTACTTCTGTCAATACAAATACGAATACTAGTCCAAATAGTAATATCAGTCTTGGTAGTATTGATTCACTTTCAAAGCACACACGCCAACTGTCTTCTTCCAATTTGTCAACAACTGTGGAGTGTGGAAATACCACTTTGGATAGTAATAACGATAATACATTGACGACATTGACTGGTACAATCAATAGTGCTCTTACTACAACTACTGTTCCCAATAATAGTAGCAATTACACAACTAGTAACAACAACTGTGCTAGTATTGGTGGGCCTCCACTTCGGCTTCGTTTTGCAAAAGAAGCCGGTCAATATACCTTGATGGAACATCAACAACAACAGATTGATTTATCCCTTTCGAGTTGTGATGCAAATCTTGTTCCTTCATCAAGTGGAATTATTTGTACAACAACTGAAGCATCTCATGTCACTGTCATTAGTGATAGCGACAACGATAACAAGAACATGAATTTTCAAATGGATATTGATAACAATAATAATAATAATAATAATAGTAGCGATAATGTCAGTAATGAGCATAACTCCAATATGGGTACATCGATGACGATAAAAAGTGAGCCAATCACCGTATCGGGTGATGAAGAATTGAATCATGTAAGTCAATTATTATGACAATAATTGTAACTGTTCTTGAGTGCTTATTTTGTACAATCTACTAACCAGCCGATTAATACTGTGTTGGGTGGATTTGCTGATTAAATTTTGTGGATTGTAGGTCGATATAAAACAGCTAGATGTGTGTGTGTGTGTGTGCAGGGTAGTCAAATGTAGACATTATCTTATTTATTTATTTATTTAATAGTGATGTCATGTTAGTCAGAGTTTTATGCTTGAGATTTCTATGACAATGGGCGTGAATATTTGGTCATAGATTTGTTGTTGAATGTTGTATTTGTCTGGTAAAGAAATAGTTTAACTTCACTGTTTAATAATTGATGTCGAAATATGAACATGTGGTAGTTGTAATTTCGTGGTAATGAAGTGATTTGAATGGTGGGATGTTGGTGACTAGTGAACTACTTATTAAAGACTGATCTCTCAATAGTTCATTCAGAACGATTGCTGATAACTTATTTCATCTTCTGTTGTGGTTATTGATTGACATGTGAATGTGTGTGTGTGTGTTAATTTGGCTGTTCTCCTGACTGCTTAATCACGGTTTCCAGTTTGTTACTTTGTTTGTTTTTCTGTCTAATGTATGAGCTCTGTCGTTGAAGTACTACTATGGGAGTGTTAATGTGTGTATATATATGTGTGTGTTTGACCGATTTAGTGTGTTCTGTTTGTCAGTTCCGTTGTTTGTAATTGAGTAACTTTTTTCTTATTGACATGCGTACAATGACTGACATTGGTTATGTGAGAATCCGTTTTCGGATTTTTGACATTGTTGAGTTACGAGTTTGTGAACCTGGATGTTGGTCAGGTTATTATTCTAAGTTTAAACATTCACTTTTCAACCAATTTCGGGTATGTTGAAAGCGGATAAGTGGTAATGCTAGCAGTCAGACACACAGCGAAAGTGTGAATCACGAAGCCGAGCTCATGATTATGTACTTTTTGACCGGTGACTTGTATCCCATCTTAATTTTGTAACCATTAATTTATGGTTCATACTTGTACCCCCATCTCCCTATCTTGTTATTGTGAGTTAAAAACAGTAATTGGGCTTAGTTGTTTTGGGGATAGAATAGTAGATGCTAAAACACTCGTTCTGTTATATATCAAGCATCCGTTGTCCGTTTGTCTCGTGACTGCACTTTCTGTAGATAGTAAATTGTCAGAAGTGTATGCCGTAGTGTCCGTGAGTGAGAACGAAAGCCTTAGATCAGGAAATGTATCGTTGCTTTGTATGTATGTACATAAGTATGTGTTTTTGCACAATGTTTGGTTAATTAACGACTCAGTTGTTCTAATTGTCTTTGTTTCACCTGTTGGGTTTTAATAAACCATTTAGATTGAGAATTGTAGGATTGCTTAAATACGAGTGATTGTTTTGGATTGTGTATTGTGAATATTGGAGTTGTACTGTCTGAGTAGTCTAAGTGTCGCGGTGTGCAATTGTGAGCTGATGAACTGGAATTTGCTTATTCTGTAATTTAGTGCAAACACAAGTGATTAATATTGCTCGTTATTTGTGGAGATGAAGAATTTGACAGGAAGTGAAACCTCTGTGACTGCATTCTGTGTCTATTGGTTGTTTCGATCAGTTGGACGTGTATCTACACATGAATATTTCCATTTATCGCACATTCTACTGTTGTGGTTATTGCTCAGTACTCTAATTGTAAGATGATGAGCAGTGGGGGTATTTATCTAAGGACTATTTTCGACAGTATATTCATCATTGTCACCATGGGTTACTGTTTTTGTCCTGATTCTTCGTATGATTACAATTATTGGGATGCTTCTAGAATTTTTGTAAGAGGGGTATTGTGAAGTGATGTATCAAAGGGCGAATAACCTCAATACTAACAATAACACTGGTAAATTGAGTCAATCAGAAATCGGCCAAATGATTAGTACATTTGATTAAGCAGGAAACGTCTTTTATTGCTAAGAGATGTGATATACTCTAGTGGTGTCTTAATTTTGTGAGGAATAAATATATGCTGAGGAGTCTCACAACAAGACGAAACGGCCGTCCATTGCCTCCAGGTTTTCCATGGTGGTCTAGCTTCAATTGACTCGTGATCTCAACTATTGGAATAAATATGTTTATGTATGAATGTGTACACACACGGTCGATTCGGTGTGGTCAATAAACTTCCTTTTTCAGTGTCAGTGTTTTCACTGGAGTATATATATTACTACCATTGAAGTAACTACTCCTATGGATTTGATGACCATTTTATTGTGTTAATGAGGTGTGGCAACTTGTATATATGTGCCTGGTCCTATGTTGCAGCTGACTGACCGGTTGAGCTGGTATATGAAAAGTTTGTGTATCAGTATCAACTATCGGACACCTCATGTCACAATAAACATACTATTTCAAGTTCTGACTAGTGTTACCACTAAGTGTTAATGAATGAATGGGAATGTGATAAGGTTGATAAGAATATGTGACAGCTCATGTTTACCGTCGTTGTCGGGAAAATGATTATACTTTCCTACCATGATAGAGTTGTGTATATGTGTGTGTTAGGTATTTTAATGGGTTTCTGAATGTAGCATTTCTACAATATTGACTAGAATGAATGTAAGGGAAAGGAGTTTATGTCTTTAATTTAATTGTCTGAGTTTGTAAATATATTTTGTGATCGTTGTTTGTTTTGTAGAGAATTTGTTATGAGATTGTGTGTATTTGTATTTTGTAGTCCTGCAGATTCGGAACGTTGGTGTAGTGATTGAGGTGTTCGACTTTCAGCCACTAAATGACAGTTTCAAACCGTGCTCCACCCATTTGGGTTTGGGCTACTGGGTAGTACATTGGCCGTCACTCTAAGAGTGTGTCTCATAATCAAGTACATGGCGAATGAGCTGATGTATAGATGTTAGTCCTACAAAGGAATTCGCTTCCATTTTGTCATGCTATATCAGTCAGTCAGTCAGTCAGTGCTGTTAGAGGTATGAGGGCGGTTATCACTTCCCGGTTGCCCACACCGTGGAAGGTTTGTTCTGGAGGTCTCTGAAAAGGAAATCGGATTAGAGGTGGTCTTAGTGACCTGAGAGCGTGACCGCAGTGCCCAATGGACAACCGCTTGAGGTCGGCCACACACGACGTTTTTATGGGTAATTTTTGTGTTAGCTCCGTACTTGTTGAGACCTTACCACCGGAGACGGATATCCGTGGGATAAGGTGAGGTGTGCATTTTTAGGGTCGACCTTTTCTAATCCCACCCCTCCTTGTGGGAAGGCAGCCTCGATGTTGTGCTGGTTGTCTGAAGGAAACACCTTACTGCTGCCACACCTCTGTACAGTCAGCAGTACGACTTTGCCTTCGGACCTTGGGTTTGTTGCTTTTAGTCTTACCGCTCTTCAACCGACTTGTCTGACATGGTAGGACCTTGAGGAACGATTGTTCCAGCCAGTATAGCTCGGTTGCTTCATCACGATAGGCGAGCGCGACCACCACTTCAAAGTAACAACAACGGTCGGGCCACTTTCTATAGTTTAGACAGTTTCCTACTGAATTTTTGGAGTATGATGATTATTTTGTTGTTTGTATTCACGTGTGTCTACGGGCTTTTTCTTTTCTGTTAATTCTCTGTGACAGGTGTCTACATCATGCCATTCAGAGTCATCAGGAGGCGAAGAAATCTCGGCACAGAAGGTTCCTCCTTTACGCATAAAATTTGCTTCGGGTACTTCTGGAGATGAGTCATCATCAATGACGTCGTCGTGCATGTCAGTTGGAGCAACTGGTGGTGGATTGGCAATTCATCCTATTAATAATGTGGAGAATAATTGGAATAATGAGTCGAATATGAATGTTAAATGCGACGTGAAACCTCGTGTATCTGATGATGGTTTGATGACTGTGAATAACAAAAGTGATGGTAAGGAGGCTGGAGTCACTGTCACTTCTCTGGTTTCGACGAGTGTCGTTTCATTGAATGCTCTAGTTCCTGACAAAGTTTCATGTTCAAGCGTGGAGAATATCGGTGACGGTAACAGCGGCAGTAGTACTACTACCACCATTACTGCTACCGGCACTACCGAAACTGTGCACGATCAATATTCTAGCTACCATGAGAAGTTATCTAAGTCTTGTGATCATGTTGTTGCAACGAATGTACACCATGACGAATCGAGTACAGAGTTGTCCATATCTTGTACTCCCCCATCAACATGTATCACTAGTGCTGGGATGAACACTAGTGTGAATATTACGAGTGGTGTTAACACTGTTGAGATGAATAGCAATCGTAGTAATGCAAGTAATGCTAATAGGGTGAAGATGGATAATACGCTGGAGACGAGTGAGTGTCATGGAAAGAGTGGCAATAATAATAGTAATAATAATAACAACAACAACAACCACACGCACAATCGAAGTAATAATAATAGTAATAATACGAATAATGGTAATCGAGAAGTGTCGAAAGTGAGTTTACGTGTTTTTGTATGTTTGTTGATGTACGTAGTTGTATTAGTCACTTGAATGTTGTAATTGTGACTGAACGTACTGAAGTGTGGTTCGATGTAGCTATTGATGAGGAAGTAGATGGTATTTGATCCGAATAACTTCCGGGAGAAATTTATCCATTCTAAATGTGTAAGTGTTTTAGTTGGTTTTTGGTAGGTTTTGACTATGAATCTGAGGCATAATGCTGGTGTTTTTTCTAAAAAGCTGAGATGAATTGATGTGATTCGGTGCGGGATGAGGGTTACATTAATAATTGGATGCGGCGAACAGTCATCACGCAGATCGTATGATTGTGTCCTTTATTTTCATAGTCCAGCTTTGGTTAATAATATATTGATAATGTTGTTGCTTAGGATGGACTGTTGAGTTGTATGGAAGATTTCCGACTTCATCAAAAGTTAACTTTTTAATGCATGTGTGATAAATTCAGACAGACTGTAGTGGTTTGAATGTTGTGTTGATGTGTTGATAACTGTTATCATTGTTCGTGTCCTGTGTTGATTTTGACTGTTAATGGAATGAACCTGTTGTATATTTTGTGGTTGACTGAACTCTCTCTGCCCCCTTCATTCGATGATGAACTCGATTGAAGGTGAAATTCCACTTTGATTTGTTACATTTAGTATGAATCTGTTTCAATTTGTCTGATTATTTCGTTCTTCATGTATTGATGTTGTAGGATACTCATCGACATCGTAGTGGGCGTACATTACGTTCACATACAGCTGCTCAACGTGAAAAAGAAGAAAAGGAACGTCACAGTAAGCATTTTGTTAGTTCAGTGTTTGTAATGTTTTAATTCCGATTCCTGTTTACTGACAGGAAACAGTTTGTGACGGATTGTAGAAGAAATTGGTGTTGATTTGATGAGGTAGAAAGAGGAGTGTGATGGAAGATTTGTGTATGTGTCATTAGTACTATAAAGTTTGGGACTTATGAATTACCCTGTATTAAGTGGGTGAGACGCGACAGCAAAGAAGTGATCGTCTAGTAACTAGATTATATTCATAGTTTTGCTTTTATTGGTGTTGATTCAGTCAGTCAGTCAGTCAATCAGTCAGCTAGAATGTAGGACCAGGCACATATATGCATCGGTCCAAGTTGCCATACCTCATTAACACAACAAGATGGACACCGGATTCATAAAGGTAGTTAATTCAGAGGTGGTAATATATAAAAGAAAGATTGCATATAAGAATATAGTACAGGAAGAAAGAATTAGTTGGTAAAAAGAAAGATATGAAGCAATTTTAATCTCTTAGTTTAAGGGAAGATAGAGAGTGTATACACCGTCGCCACTGTGATCGATTCTGAGCCTTGTCACCAAGAGTCTCCAACCATTGGTTACGATAGTCACGCGGATCCCAACCAAGTAGTCTGCATCTACCAACATGGCTCAGAATACAAGTTAGTGACTTTGTGGACTGATGGCACGTTTTGGTTTGGCCACCCCTAACTTTCTTCCAACCATCCCGAACACCGGTTAGCATTGCACTTCGTGGTAATCGGTGTTCGGGCATACGTAACACGTGGCCCAACCATCTCAGTCGATGAAGATTCACAACCTCATCAACTGATTTAGCATCATTCCCTAATACCCTGCGTCTAACCTCACAATTACTTACCCGGTGATCCCAACAGACGCCAGCAATATTTCTAAGGCATCTGTGGTCAAATACTGGTAGCTTACAAGTGTCTTCTACTCTTAATGGTCATGTTTCGCTGCCGTAAATTAAAACAGAATGGACTACCGCGCAGTATACTCGTCCTTTTATTGATAGACGGATATCTCGCCTTCGCCATGGGTGAGGTAATTTGGCAAAAGTCAAGCGAGCTTTTTGAATCCGTGCTGAGATTTTGTCAGACACTAACCGATTAGAGCTGATCAGACTCCCAAGATAAGTGAAGTCAAGGCGTTCGACTACTTCGCTCCCTATCCTTAGTTCAGGTGTTGACTCTGACCAGTCCTGAAGCAACAACTCGCATTTAGAGGGAGAGAAGCGCATTCCAAACATTCTGGAATTGTTGCTCAGTGCTACCGAATGACTCTGCATTTTATCAGCGTCTTCACCACAACAGGACTTTGTCATCTGGGTATTCTAAGTCGATAAGTGGACCTCCTGGAAGGAGATCAATACCCGAGAATTCAGTCGATGAGAATGTTATTTCTATCAATAGGTGCATGATGAAGTTAAACAAAAATGGACAAAGTTGACAGCCTTGATGGACGCCACTTGAGGTTGCAAAAGCAGATGACAGTTCGCCATAAGCTCTGACTCGACTGATAGTGTTCGAGTAAAGAGCCTTCACAAGGTTTATGTATTTCTGAGGTACGCCTTTCAATGGCAGACACTGGCACAGAATATGGCGGTCCACAGATTCAAATGCTGCTTTTAAGTCAAAAGAGACCACCATTGTCGGACGCCGATAAGTATGCCTGTGTTCTAGAACCTGACGATTCTCTCGTGTTTGCAGGTCACGAGTCTTAGTTAGGCGTCTGATAATTATCGAGGCTAGTATTTTAGATACTATATTAGTTAAACTAATCCCTCTATGGTTATCACAGGATGATTTTAACCCTCTCTTATATATTGGGACGATAAGTGATTGTGACCAGTCAGATGGAATAACGTCTAATTCCCAGATCTTAGCTAAAATATTAGTCAACCTGATTGCTAAAATTGGACCACCATCCTTAAAGACCTCTGAAGTCAATCCATCTGGACCAGCTGCCCTTCCTCGTTTCATATTAGCTATAGCCTTTTGAATTTCAGCTAGAGTTGGGGGACCTACTTCAATGTTCCATTCACACTGTCTGGGAATGGAGGGTAGTTGTAGAGTAGCTGAAGGCCAGCTGAACTGTTCTCTGAAATGTTTCACTCATCGTTCTAAACGTCTGGACTGGGAGCAGATGAGAGTGTCGTCTTTTTCCGAAATAGTGTGACTTACACTTGACTTATTAATTCCAGTTTCTTTTATTAGTCTGTAGAGCTGTCTTGTGTTCCCTATAGCCGCCGCCTTTTCCATCTTTTTTGCTTTCGTTATCCACCGCTGCTCACGGTCATTCCTTATACTTTTGGTTAACCTAGATCTGATTTGTTGTCACTCTTCATCGTGTTCAGAGCCTGATGGGATGAGTTTACGAGAATCCATCAGTGCAATAGACCTTGTGGAAACCCATTGGTTCTTTGTAACCCTGTGGTTTTAATCACTGATAGATATCACTGCTGTTTCCACAGCTTTTTGTATGTCTTTCCAAGCAACATCTGGGTCAGCCTCGTTTTCAGAAATACCTAATTGTGACCTCAGTTGTTCCTGGAACCTACTTTTGGTTTTCTCGCTAATCAATTCAGTTCTAATGGGTCTTTTTATTGTGGCTTTTTTGCGTCCAATGAGGCGCAATGAGCGACAATCTTCAACCGAACCTCTCCAAGTATGACTGATGGCAATGTAGTCTATTTGAGTTCATCGTTGGTTTGGTGTAGGGGGTCGCCATGTTAGACGATGCCTCTCCTTATGCTTAAAATTTGTGTTTGCTAAAAATAAACGACTGTCTGAGCACAGTTGCAGCAGACGATCACCATTGTCTGTTCGTTGTTCCGGAATACTAAAATACCCACCTAAATGCCTTTCTGTTTGGTTTAAACTACCTATCTGGGCATTAAAGTCACCGGCTACGAGTACTATGTCTGAACGTTTAGCTTTCTGAAGAAGTTCAGATAGCTTTCTGTAAAATTCATCTTTCATTTCATCTGGGCTGCAGTCGGTGGGAGCATAGGCAGAAACGACCAAAAGGCAACTACGTGTGTCCCTATACTTCCGAGTTCTTGCGGAGCCGTTTAGCCGAACAGCACATAAACGACTGTTAACGGGAATCCACTCTAACAGTGCTTGTTCCGCCCTCATGCGTACGTTGAAGGCTCCAATGTGTAGTTTGGAGCGAGGTTTCAGTAGACCTGGGATAGTGTTTTGAGCACTAGAATCGTTGGCTATGGTGACACTTGAGGGGGAAGCCGAAAACGGAAGTTTAAATGTGAAAGTCGATGTAGGAGGAATAATAGGAAGTGAAGACGGAGGTTGATTATGAATACAGTGGTCTTGAATGCCGTGAGAGGTATGAGCTACTGGGTAGTACACTGGCCGTCACTCTAAGAGTGTGTCTCATAATCAAGCACATGGCGAATGAGCTGATGTATATATGTTAGTCCTACAAAGGAATTCGCTTCCATTTTGTCATGCTATATCAGTCAGTCAGTCAGTCAGTGCTGTTAGAGGTATGAGGGCGGTTATCACTTCCCGGTTTCCCACACCGTGGAAGGTTTGTTCTGGAGGTCTCTGAAAAGGAAATCGGATTAGAGGTGGTCTTAGTGACCTGAGAGCGTGACCGCAGTGCCCAATGGACAACCGCTTGAGGTCGGCCACACACGACGTTTTTATGGGTAATTTTTGTGTTAGCTCCGTACTTGTTGAGACCTTACCACCGGAGACGGATATCCGTGGGATAAGGTGAGGTGTGCATTTTTAGGGTCGACCTTTTCTAATCCCACCCCTCCTTGTGGGAAGGCAGCCTCGATGTTGTGCTGGTTGTCTGAAGGAAACACCTTACTGCTGCCACACCTCTGTACAGTCAGCAGTACGACTTTGCCTTCGGACCTTGGGTTTGTTGCTTTTAGTCTTACCGCTCTTCAACCGACTTGTCTGACATGGTAGGACCTTGAGGAACGATTGTTCCAGCCAGTATAGCTCGGTTGCTTCATCACGATAGGCGAGCGCGACCACCACTTCAAGGTAGCAACAACGGTCGTGTTGATTGATTGTTGTTTGTAGTGTAATGGATGGATGAATGGTTCAATTTTGTAATAATCTCGAGTTTAATACATGCACATTTGTCTGTTGCCAAAAGAGTTAATTTTCTATTTGTTCATGTGAATATGTGAAAAATGTATAACTCATTCAGTTGGTCAGCCAATCTTTGGTACTATAGGGCATTAGAAAATGCATCGTCATCATCATCACGCATAATGACACAAGAATATTGTGAGAATAAATTGCCAAGGGAAAAATATTGTAGTTGAAGTGGTGAAATACTACAGAAAGGTAGCTCGCATAAAACCGAAAGTGAGTAAGACTTTATTTTTCTTGAACATTTCATATTGGTGTTTATTGGAAAGAAACAAGTGATTGATGGGAAGCTTGGTAACAGCTTCGATTCTATGTTAGGAAGTCGTACATCGTTTATGGAAGCATTCTGGAGTATAAAACTCATCTGTGAATAGTGATCATAAAGTCAGTGAGATTGTGGTGTTGTTCTCTATCAGTTTTGTAGAATGTAATTGATGTACGTTGATGACACTATTTTTTCTCTATTTAGCGGATGACGCTACTCCGATTAAGAAGCGTAAACTTCGTTCTCGTTCGGATACTGTGACAAATCATGAGAATATCAGTCAACAGAGTCGTAGTGGTGGTGGAATTGGGACAGTAAATGCAAATAATTCACCTGTAACAACTGTTCATGCTGGTTCGTCAACTGAATCTTCTAATGTGTCGTTGTCTTCAAATGCTGTTGTAAACATGGATGTGATTGAAGATACACATGGTTGTTCAACTGTGACTGCTTCTTCTCAAAGTGACAGTCACATGGATAATGAAGAGAAGAAGGTGTCTGTCGGGAGCTCTCAGTCTACAGTGCTGACGGATAAAGATACTACTGATGTGCATATGACTTGTGTTTCTGAAATGGAAGGAGGACATTCTGTTTCATCGTCTACCACCACTTCTTCTTCTACTAATACTACTGCTACTACTACCACTCCTACTCCTACTCCTACTAATACTAATACTACTACCACTAATGACAATGATAACAGCAACAAAATGGAAGTGGATAGGAAACCAGAGATGTGTGGAACTGCTGTGTCAGTTGTGACATTGAATATGGATGGATCGAATGATGTGAATGTCGTGTCATCAGTCTCCGAAGTAGGAGTGACGACGGTGGTAACAACAACAGTAGGTGTAGCAGGAATAACAACATCAACTCCATCATCATCGTCATTAGCGGAACAGATAGGTGGATGCTATAGTGAAGCAGATTGTGATATGAGTTATCTATTTTGTCCCTCTGCTCCTGGAGATGAAGATCGTAAAGATGTTGAGTTGTTGAAATTTCAAAATCCATATGACAAAGCTGCTGAACTGAACAAGAATGTAAGTGGTTTCAGTCAGTTAGTATTATTGATAATGAATGTTGACTGGTTGGTTGGTTGTTGAATGGGGATACATTTAAGTAGTATTGTATTATTATTAGTAGTATTTGTAATAGTGTAATGTTTGGTGGGGAAGTGTTAACAGAAATATTGTAATGATTGCTTTGTTTTGAGTGAAATATATTTCGATAAATTTAACTCCCTATGTATGACATAGCTGTACTAATGAGATTTGTAAATTCTTTGCATGGCTTGTTTTGATGCAATCAACTACACTACTACAACAGTTGCGTGAACTTGTCAATAATCTGGTGAAGGTCCATCCGAAAGCACCTTGTGGTTATCAAGATTACCTGTTGGTTACTCGTAATTACCTATTGGCTAATCAACTCTCATTTGCTACATATGTGAAACGTGTAAGTTTTTTGATTATTTTTTGCATTGTTTTTTAGTAATGAGTGAATGTTGTGTATTGATAGTGGCAGTATTGGTTGTATTTAAACAATAATTATGGGCTTTGTAGTAGTTGTAAATACTGTTTTGTTTGGTGAAGGTGATTTATAATGTTAATTCGTTGAATATGGTGTGATATTTGGCGACTTGAGTTTCTCATTGTCATTTGTAAGTGTTTATTGTTCGATCTAATTTGTTTTTCTACCTGAAGTGTGTATGTTTGTGTTTTTTAAAACTGGTTCATAATAAAGACGGACTACCTGAATTCACCACATCCATGTGTATTTACCAGTTCAACTACTTCTGTGAAACCGGTTATGTAGGGTGTACAATTCGGCAAGTCCGTTATCGTATTGCAGAGCACGGTACGTGTTGGTTGAGCAAAGGACAGATAACAATGGTTAAGAGTTCTATTCCCGCTGACTTTGTGGACACATGTCATCAAGTTAACTTGAATAAAACTTTTAAGGTTGTTTACTATATTCCATCAAATTTACCACATGGTTTACGAGTTCGTCTGTTGCATATCACTGAAGCCATCGGAATCCATATTCATAAATCAAACCTTTACATCCGAAAGAGATTTGTACAACCATTCTCACCACTTTGTCCATCGGTATAGGAGTGAATTTGTAGCTGAACTTTTTTGTAACCCTTTCCCTCAAAAATATTTGAACTATTTTCCACGTTTATATTTTTACATATTCTCAACAATCGTCTCTAGATTCTTACATAACTACAATGATACTGACCTTTCATCAAAATATTCTGTTAGTCCCTTCTTTTTGTATATTGTGCATTGCAGTACCTGTTCAAATTTCCGATTGGTTACTTTGATTACTATGATCCCCTTCCTTTCAATTACTCAATATTATTTTATAATTAATGTGTCATTATACAATTATTCTGTAACATAACTACTCAACGAGTACTATTTCATTATTGTAAGTGATATATATTAGTGTAGAGCCATGATGAGAATCTAATTAAAAAGAAATTTCTTCGTTTGATCAACTGATTTTTTTTAATCCGATGTTTTGAATCACGCTAGTTGCTGTGTATTGTGATGTGTGTGAGGTGTTTGATGACAGATTTGATCGATAGAGGTTTGTGTGGAGGTCCCAACTATGTTGATGATATGTGACTAATTGATCATTCCAGTGAGCTGTGTGACCTGTTGTGTGATTGCACTCACTCATGGATGAGTGTCTACACTGTTAACTATTAGGGTGACCTTGATTGTCAAGTTATGTACTAGAATGAGTAAGTGAAGACTGAAACATTGTGATGTTTTACGATTTAGTGGTTATTCCAGCCATGAATGAGATGTGTAAACATTGAGGCAGTTTATTCTATGAGTCATTTCGGACGTTGTTTGTTTTTTTGTGAGTTGTTTATTAATCGATTTGTTTGTCTTATTTGTTTATCATGTAGTCAGCACCAAGTCATTTGGAAGCGACGTTTGTGGAATTATTCAATGAACAAGAAGAAGAACGCTATGCTCAGGCATTGAAACACCAATCAGAACGAGTAAGTGTTGGTATTTACTGTGTTGGATGCGTATTTTGTGTGTGTGCATGATTAGAAATGGAGTGATTGAAAGTGAAATATTTTGTCAATACTTAGTAGTAGTGATCTAAGCATTGTGTTGTGTATGTGGATTTGAATGACGACAGAGTTGTTAAAGTAAAAGATATGACATATAGTAAGTGTGACTTGGAGATCGTTGACGAGAGCAGTAGAGAATAAACTGTCCACGAAACACGCTTCCTGGATTCCACTGCTAGCCACTATCCATCATTGCTTACAAAAAGCAATATCGAGGGATACGCACGGTATGCACATATGCCAATAACAGGCTGATCAGTTGCAGTCTCAAACCTCAATAGGAAGATATAAGCCAAACAATACCAAGTGAATTTAAACTGTTCACTGTTGTAAAAATGATTTTGATGAATGTGAAATGTTTTATTTTGTTGTATGGACAAGAGAATAGACTGTATTTGTATGTCAATGATGGGGAAATTGGTACGGAATTAACGTAATGTTGATATTTGTGGATTATTTTGCCAACGTTTTTTCATTTGGATTGTAATTTTCATAATCGTTAGTTGATTTCAGATCTGTATGCTTATGATAATGACAAATGTTTGTTTGAAATACACTGAATGTTTATTTCAGCTGACTTTTTCTAGCCTTTTATTATTGATTGAAGGAACACTTACAACTGGGCGCAGAACAAGCTGTTTTACGTGCTCAAACACGTGGTGCTTTAGCAGTGGCTAATCAATCGAAACCATATTCGTTTTGTTCAATATTATCCTATAATGATTTGACGTATATTCCACCAGTTGGGAAATTAGAGAATCGAGTGAGTAATAGTAGTATATTTGTTTTCTCTGTTTTGTTTGTTTATGTTTATATAATTCGAGTTTATGAAACGAGTCAGTGATGTGTTGTCATATTAGTCGGCAATGTGAATATGAATATTGGAAGGTGGTGAGATGTTGTCAATCCTTTATATTTATCATCTGTTGGTGATATGGTTTATGTTAGTTTTGTATGTATGCAGTGTGTCTGTGTGTGTGTGTGTGTGTTGTGAAGCCGAGATTAATGTGTTGGTGCTGGGAGTTAATGAAGAATGTTTTCAAAATGATCGACTTGTGTTGAGTGGGTTTGTTTAGTTTTCCGTGTATTGTTTTGTAAAGTTGATTTCGTATGTGACTTGGTTTTTGGAGTTTTCTGTATGTTTCTTAACTTCGTTGTTATCGTTACTACTGTTGACATGATATATTGTGAGATTGTGGTCTTTTAATGAGATGAAGATCCTTATTCCACTGCAAAACGGAGAACGAGTTTGTTGAAATTCTGCTCTCCATTGTTTAAAATATGTGTAGGCGCATATGTTGTGTTTGTCGACTCATATGTACATTTGTGGTGTATGCTACTTATGTCGACAGATGTAATTAGTGTGTTGTAACAACAGTCAGATATGAAATGTCTGATAGCAGAAGGTAGGGAAGATTGAACTGAAGAAAAGAGAAAGAGAAATATGGAGGAATTGGGAAGTGGAACAATCATGAAGGATGTAGAGGCTGATTGATGGAGTACTCGCAACGGAACTATTTGATATGGTGGAGAAATGTATAGTTTTCACATTTCACGAAAGAACTCTGTAATTTTACATTAGACAATAAATTGGTCTTCCTCACTGTGTAGATGGCTCTCGGTGAACTCAAGGAAGCCGAAGACATTCCATCTAATCATCTTTTGGAAGAACATTCTAGGATGTCGACGTGTGGCTTCCCGACTGAACAAATGCTAAAAACCACTGCATGCGGATTGGATGATTTTAGTGATTATTTTCTTTTTTACTAAGAACTATGAATACCCGAGTGTTTCGTACCATATTTGATTGGTTGTAAGAAACTGTTCGTGTGGAAGATATTACATCATATATTTTTCTAACTATTATATTGTAATAATGATTATTAGCACCACAGAAGGAATAGCTAAGCACAATAGTGCGCCATGAATTGGGCCTACATAAAGCGTATTAAACATTTTTGTGAAGCATTCGAGGATGAAAAATTTGATACCATGATGATGCTGATCGATAATTGAAAACCATCATAGTGTATGTCTTGAACGGTACATTCGGATTCGTTTATCCAGTTGAATTTTCTGTTTCCTAATCTTGTTTCTTGTGAAATTGTGTAATTGTTAATGAGTAGTAGTCGTATTAGTAGTTACAAAGTATGCTTCAATGTGAACCATCGCGAATAGTGTTGTCTTTGTGACTTCTACTTGTTGCTGTGAGTGGTTGTTTTGTTTTGAACTTTATCGTCAACTGTGTGTTGTGTTGTTGTGTATGACTGTTGTTGATGTTCCCTGGTTCTGTAGTTAGTTGAATTGAGTAATTTTCACAACTGGATTTTGTTGTGTATTATGGTTTTCTAAACGTAATTTTGTTTTGCTGCTGTCCGAGCAAATTAATTGTTCACTGTATTCGATTGTACATGCTATGAATGAGAAGAAGAATACTGATGGTTTGTTGAATGTTGTTTTGTTGAGATTAAATCTTTTGGATTGTTGAGATGGGGATCAGCTCACTCCGTGTAGTAGTGCAGTATGAGACGTCTGATGGCAGAGAATATTACCTACCTACTGTACGAGCTAATTCTCCTACGTATTATGAACAACGGTTTGGCTGAAAACAGCGTACATGAGTGTGTCTACTTAGTTGGTGATTTACAGTGTTATTGTAGTTGTATATTTGTAGTGGTGGTGGTGGTGGTGGTGATGTGGATGTTGCATAAAAGCAACATTGTTTATTTGTTTGAAATTTGCTTGTCGATTGTTTGAACTGTGGGCTTTATCAGTTGTGTGCAATTGAAGCAGATGAAATAGTATTTATGATTGTAAGTTGCTATTCATCATAGGTATCTTTTTACATTGTTGTATTATCTGTTTATATATGTACATATTCTCTAATTTTGTGTGTATGTTTTGGTGTGTTTACAGGAAGAAGAGAATATACGCGATCGTTTCACCCCTCGTACATTTATCGGTTGGCTTCAAGACATTATCGATACATTTCAGAATGAAAAGGTGAGCTGAAGCATAATTTGATTGTCATTTATTTGGGGGTTGTGAAGTTACCTGATAATTCTGAACGTTTTGAAGTCAAACTGATGGTTGGTTGATTAATATGGTTGAAATTGTTTTGCGGTGAAATAACAACATGAAGGAATTTGTCAGGTACGATGGATGAATGGAAATATTGGTACAGACGACAAAGTCAAACATCTTGACAATGAAATGAGACTATATAAAAGAGCATTTATCATATAAACAGTGTTAACCTATAAGTAAGTAAGGTGTTTTGTTGTTATGATGGACAGTGTCGGAAATCTGATGTTGATACACGATGTGCTATATGCTAACTCCCGACCTGCCTACTTAAGCGAAAAAACATGATTGGACGGGAAAGTACTTTGCCCTACCGAATGATATGCACAAATACCCATTTTTATATATCCTGTAGAAAATCAATCCATTTCTGAATGAGTGATATACACTAGTCCTCCATATTAGTTCTGAATGTGATTGAGTGAGTTTTTGGATTGGCCACTTCTGATTGGCTCACTGTGTCACTTGGCAGATGAAAGGTTAATTCAGTCAGTAAGAATACTCTATGGATGAAATCTCTACACTCTGTTAATTGAGTCTAAGGGTAGGATTTCACGACTGTGACTGGGGTGTTACAGATGTTGGGTGAAGCTTGGTTGTGTGTGAAGACGTTGCTGATCGATCATTGTGCGTGTACTGTAGAGTGTAACAACAACACTAAATGCTTTATATCTGTTCATGGTGTCCTCCTCTCACTCTCTTCTGTGTTTTCGCTTGTAAATTTTTGTATTTAGAAGAAATTGCTCTGTCGACAACTTCATGAAGCTGAGTCACTAATGATGGTGCAGAAACTTGATTGGGAAATGAAAACGCGTGAAACATTGGCGTCGAATATCGATTGTATTGGTGTTGTGGATGTATTCAAAGACATTCCAGCTAATTATGTTCCACTAATCCCAGTGCCTAATGATTTTCCACTGTTCGCTCATGATCCGGTACATCGAACGACAACGACTACCACAACAACAGCTGCGCCGGTGGCGGCGGCGGCAACAGCGACGACAATGTCAACCACACCGAGTACTCCGATCCCCATCACCCCTACTACCAACACCACCACACACACCGCTGTCAATCATAGCCCAACGGTATCAGCAACGACAACTACGCTGACTAACAACTCATGATTGATATGATGAAGGGGACTTGTTGTTTTCATTTTCTTAGTGATGAAATTTATGCATTTTGTCATACTTCTCCTTTCTTAGCTTTGATTTGATTTTGCCTTCTCATCTCAACAAAAACAGCCGGTAAACTACTGACATTCTACTTCTTCATCCTCCTCATCACATTGACTTTGTGTTTGTGCGTGTCTGTTTGTTTGTGTACATACTGTGTGTGTTGATGGATTGACTAATTTTCCAATGATTTTCTGTTGTCATCATCCTTGTCGTCGTCCGTATTTATGGAATATTAATATGTCTACTGAATGTGTATCTGTTAGATTGATGATGCTGAGCAGTTCGTGTATATGTGTGTGTGTTGGAGTTTTATTTCTGTGTTGTGGTGAAACTGTCTTTATGATGTGTAATTTGCCAGTGTCAATAAGACTGGTAACAATAATCATTGTTAATTTTACTATGATTTGTATAGTTTCTTTATTTGTGTATTCAGCCACTTATTTGCGTAATTAATTAAATGCATATGTTTATGTACCTGAATTATGTAAGTAAATATATTTATTTTTTCCTTGAAATAGTGGGGTTTTCCCTATTCTAAAGGATACAGTATGGTGTCCAAGTTTGAAAATGTAGCGGATTTGAAATCTTACGATTTTCTCTCAAATTGTTTTAATATCGCTGTTTATTTGGGTATTTGTCATCGTTAGACAAAACTGTTGGTACTAAGCCGTGGGAAATGTTTGAGGGTATGCTTGGACGTGACTGTAGTGTCCAGTATCAGTATACACATTTGATTAAGACGTTTGTGCAAGCGTCTGGGATTTTCTAGATGTCCATAAACCGAACTTCTAGACAATAATATTTGGTGTGTTGTTGTGTTTCGGATCGGTGTTTCTCCTTGTTGATATTGCTGTTAAGATGGAATTTATTTTAGGGGGAATGATTTTTCAGTTGACGAGTATAGGAAGAGTGACTTAGAAACGTGCAGTTTTTAATAACTAATCATTAAAATTGATATTAAAGACTTTAGAAGGATGTAATAAAATGAAATAGCCGTTCGTTACAATAAAGTGTTAGCTGCATGAAAGAACGATGGATTTCACGTGTCTCTTTTGCCCACAGATTTCACTTTCGAGAAGATGGATTGCTTGGGCTTCTGCAGTGTTTATGTTAATAATTAGCGCTGATATCGAGCCAAATCTTTTTGACCGTTTAGATTATTTGAAAGAACATATCAAGTAAGGCGATGTGACTGAAATTCACAGATTGTTTTAATATTGAAGTGTTGATTGTTCTACGTTAACCTTCCGTTAGCTACTCAGGATTATGTTTGGAGATAGGTGTGGGGAGCGCTTGCTTTGTGTGGCCGATGTAACCTGCTCCATAAGAGCAGGTGGATTCCTAAACAGATTGAAATGACCCAATACGAGGATTTATTGTTGACACATCGACGGATGATGGGACGTTTGGAAAAGACAATTCGAAGCTTGGTAGTATGAAAAGCTTTCCCGGAGATTTCTGTAGGTGATTCATCAAAATTTCCACAGTGATGTTTCCCTTGAACTTGATTTTCACGGAGAGAGTTTTCTCAGGAACGGTGTGAGGTCTTGTAGATTGTAATCTAGGTCTGATGTACCGGTCAACAAAGCTGAATGGATAGCCGTTCTTCAGAAATATTTGTCGAGTTTGGATAGTTCATCGTCTATCATATTATCCGAGCTTTTTCACTTAGCCGTTGATGATAAAGATTGAATTAGTTTTCTCTTTCTATTTAAAGAGATCCAGCCGTAACTATTGGCATATAATCCATTCCAAGTTGGTTTTCGTTATATCGACCTTCCGTAATGTACCATCTTGTCTTCTATTTAATGAAACATCGAGGAAATGAAATTTTGATTCCAATGTAAATTTGATGTATTTAGGGCAACTACTGAATGTTATTTTATTGATTTATTTTAACACATAGATATTGGTACAAGGAGGCACCGAATACATATACGTCACACAAATCTCATTCGATATGTGTGAGGGCTGTGACACTGCCCGGGTGCCCAAACCGAACCAGGTGGTTATCTTAGGGGGCCACTCCCCGAGCCTTCGACCTAAAGGTCTGATCCACAAGGCAGTGGAGCATCGTAAGGACATGCACTCTTATGATAGCCGGTGACCAACGATTGGTTCATACACCATTTGTTCCCGTAGGATCCTGGAGCCCATGTGCACCATTGGTTTGGGATCCGGTTAAAGCGCCGGACATTCGCTTTTCTTCCTCTCATTTGCGTAAACTACACCCGTACCACGAGAAGGCAGTGAGTGGGACTTCCCTGGCAGAGGGTGTGTGCTTGTGAGAGCATATCGAGAGGGAGGGCTCACCCCACTCTTGGCCATACCAGGTCATTTGGGTGCCTTATCTAGGGATTCTCATCAGCCCTACTGGTCTGGTGTGTGATGAAATCTCAGCATGGATACAGAAGGCTCAACTATTGAATGAGAGAGAGAGTCCTGTTTGCATTGCATATCATTGTCATTTTGTACGTGATATTGTCTAGTCATATGTGTCCGTATTTATTTACACTGTGAAGTTGCTTTTTTCATAGATCATAATTTCTTGTTAGAAATTGGGTGTATGATTATTAAAGTAATAGATATGTAGCTAATCTAGTTCTACATGTTTTAATGTATTAAAAGTTTTCATAATGTATCTGTATTACCGTATGACAAGCATCTATAAAAGCTGTCTGTGTTTGTGTGTAAACTAAGTAATGATGTCGGTAATATGTATATTACAGTCAGTGTCCGAATTATAGTCTTCATAACAGATTGACCACCGGATATTTATAGATCATTGAATTGTTGTAGGGCTTTAGTTTTCACACTAATTTGCAGTCAACCAGAACATTCAAACCATGCAATAAGCAGTATGTGTCTACTCAAGTAATCGGAAATCCGTAATTCAATTTTTAAAACTACAAACAATCTATTTACAATACGTCTTTACTGAAAACCAATGGTTTAAACTTTCTTTGCAATTCACTCTTAATCAATTAGCTATAAAGAATGCAAAAACAAATAGTCATGCGTTTATCCAAGGAACACTAGAATAATTCAAACAAAAGCGTATAGTTGTTAACCTTGACCAGGTGAATAATTTACTCGTTTCAAGTCCATGTACGCATAAACGTCTTATCATTGATTCTCAAGATCAAATATGATTTGTCTAGTTCTACAACAACATATTATTTGTCTGGTACTATCTTTTCTATGAATATAGTTGTTATTTCTTAACGGGTACCAGTCTTAATATTCAATCAAAATGAATCAAATTATCATTTATTAAAGATAAAATATAAATAGATTAAAACAAAAGTCAATTTACAGAAAGATCTCGTCAATTTCACTTAATCTAATAACTAAATTGAATGGCTTAAATTATGAAAGTTTGAGAACTTTTAGTATGACTACTCCTCATGAAGGAGCGTAGGCTGCTCACCGGCATTCTCCATCCAACCTTGTCCTGAGCAATCATTTCTAGCTCCTTCCAGTTGTTATTCATCCTTTTCATATCTGCTTCTATTTCCCGATGTAATGTGTTCTTTGACCTTCCTCTTTTCCGTTTCCCTTCAGGATTTCAGGTCAGGGCTTGCCTTGCGATGCAGTTTGATGATTTGCGTAATGTATGTCCTATAATAATAATTACCTTGATATTATATGATTATTGTCATTCTTATTAGAAAAAACCCAAACTTCCGGCTACATAACTGATTTATATTTGTTTTTAACAACTTTATAACTATCTAAAGTCTTTAGAAAGTACAATAATATTTGAAGTAGCGGATACTAGGTTCAAGACTAAGTGTCCATATCAATCATAGAGAACACAGATAGATCCAGAAGATGAATCTTAAATTAAATTAACTGCACATTCAAAATTTCATTACAATCCACAACCGAACTATAACATAATTGATTTAGCTTGAGTTCTAAATTGTTTACTGGAACCCCTCTGCTAGTTCTAAGCTCCGGATAAAGGAGGAGTATTGAGCATGAGGTTACCGTTCCCATCCTGTAGACAACTAACTCGCCCTCATTTGTAATCCTCATGGCCTAAAGAGAAGAGAAAGAACACATTATGCTGAGAAATGGATATACACACGAAAAGAATGAACAACAATTGGATAGAACTAGAAAAGAAGGCCCATGACATAGTGGGTTGGAGAATGTTGGTCGGTGGCCTATGCTCCATTGGGAATAACAGGCGTAATTAAGTAAGTAAGCAAGTAATTTTCCATGATAAATAAATATACAATAACAAATCCTTTTATAAGAATGATATTTATACAAGAAATGTAAAAGTATCAATGAATTAGATTCTTTTAACTTTTTCATATTTATCTGATATGAAACAAAGGTTATAGACGTGTAAAAAATAAATAGTGATATCATGAGCAATTATGAATAAATTAATAGTTGAATTTATGAGTCAATTAAAGCTAGACCACCATGAAAACTTAGAAACACTGGACGGTTGTTTCGTCGTAGTATGGGGCTTCTCAACAGTGCTCATCCACGATCCCGGGTCTGTTGTGAGATAGTAAGACAATGGTGGCGCAATTTCGTGTTTTGGTTGAAGTTAGACGTCAGCAGCGTTGGATGCCGGCTCAATGGTCTAGAGCTTCAGCGTTCGCACACGAGTCCGACAGATCGTGGGTTCAAGTCCCGTGGGCGGGATCGTGGATGCTCATTGTTTAGGAGTTCCATACTAGGGTGAAATGGTTGTCCAGTTCTTCCAGGTCCCTCAGGAGGTCTAGCTTGGATCAACTCATGAATTCAACTATTAAATTACTATAATATCCACAAAACCCTTTTCTAATTATGAATAAAATAATGAGAATATTAGACATAAGTAAATGGAGCAATGCAATGATAATATTTAGAGTCTAGGTAGCTGTAACGATCTTGGTTTTTCCTTTTATTCATTCCTTCACAATTTAGAGAGCAATTGGACAATTGGATGTACACGAACGCGAATTTACAGAATATCCCACTAAAATCTGAAAACCATACAGCGAATACTTCATTTGTATAATAACAATCTATTGTCTCATACTTGATTGTTCCTTTAACAAATCTTAGTCCATTGTCTCAAATTTCACTGTTCGTGCATTTTCATACCAATTGCTTTCCGTTCCCCTCGTTTTCTTCTCGATCTTCTACTGAGATACATTCTGTTTCTGACTATCGTTATATACTACTTGTGTGGATATAAGTAGCTCTCACCACAACAGAACTAGTACATTAACAATATATATATTAAATTATCCCATCTCTATTACAAAGATCAATAATGCGATAAAAGTATATTCAACTTATCGGTCCTAAACAATATGATAAATGATTCCTAAACTTCACAGTTAGTATTCCGTTTTACTGTAAATTGCATACACAGAATTATTTTTTTATTGTTAGCGTTTTTTTAGCGAGCTAGTTTCCTACGGAATGGGATCGCTAACCTTATACCCAATCCTCCTCCTTTACCCAGGCTTGGGACCGGCAGTAGCACAATAGGGGCTCC